CCGGACGGAATGCGCTTTCGACAGGATCTGGCCCTCAGAGAATCCGCAAGAAAGGCTTTTGCCATGGTAGATAACGACCAGACTCTCAGACGAGCTATTGTCCAACGCAGCAGGCCACATAGAGGTTTTTATGAGAAGGGAGAATGGGTCATGATGTGGAAGAAGAAAGGGGAAGCCGAAGGATCATGGATAGGGCCCTTACAGGTGATTATCCAAGAAGGTCAGAATGTTGTTTGGGTGACACGCCATCATAAACTTTACCGAATTGCACCAGAACACCTGAGAAGTTTGACAGCCATGGAAGAACACCGACATCAACCAAGTTCCACGATAGCGGAATCCCAAAATCAAACATCAATCAGACCTGCACATGGTGGAGTTCAATTTCATGACATGATGTCCAATCAACCATCACATGCCTCAGGGGACCAGAACCATGCCATTCCAAATGTAGCCATGCCGGAAGTGGGTCAAGGCGCGAACTTGCAAGCTCCAATGCCAAATGGGTCTTCAGAACAAAATGTTTCCGAGTCCCCCCATGGCCAACCTGACACCGAACCTGAGATTGTCCCAGTTCCATCAGACCCTCCAAATGATAATTCCAACAATACACATCCTGAGAGTCCACAAGCCTTTGAAGTCCCAGTACCGGAAACCTCAGATGAGGAAGATGGTTTATATGCAGAAGAATATCCTATCTATAGCCTACATGAGGATCAAGCATACCGTTTTGAGGTTGACATCAATCAAAGGGATATCAATCACTGGAAGGAAGAAGTCCGTCCATCAGAAATGGCTTTCTTGGTATCAGCAGCAAAACGACAGAGAAGTGAAGTGAAAATATCCAATCTTAGTCCTGCCGAAAGACAAATGTTTGCAGAAGCTAAGACAAAAGAAGTTGAGAGCTGGCTTTCCACCGAGACAGTTTCAAAGGTTTTGCGTCACCAGATCCCAAAAGAAAGTATCCTTCGATGTAGATGGATATTAACTTGGAAAGAAGCTGATGAGACCAGTGCTGCCACCAAGTCGTCGTCAATGACCCCAAACCGCAAGGCCAAAGCACGACTTGTTGTGTTGGGATTCGAAGATCCAATGGTAGATCAAATCCCCAGGGATAGCCCAACGATGTCAAAGTTGTCACGGGTTTTGATACTTCAACATGCGGCCAGTTTGGGGTGGGATATTCACAGTTTCGACATCAAGACTGCCTTCCTGAGGGGTACCGAACAGCAATCACGATTGCTGGGCATGGAACCACCAGAGGAAATGAGGGTAAAAATGAAACTGAAACAGAATGAGATTGTGCAGTTGCTTAAAGGAGCATATGGCCGAGTTGATGCACCCTTCCTTTGGTTTCAAGAACTCAGACAAAGTCTCGAGGCCTTAGGGTTTGTATCAGCACCTTTTGATCCATGTTGTTTTGTGCTCAGGAATGAAAACCAGCAACCTGAAGGTATCATAGGCATACACGTTGATGACGGTTTGTGCTGTGGATCCACCAAGTTTCATGCCAAGCTTGCAGACCTTGAAAGAAAATATCCGTTTGGTAGTAAGAAAAAGAGAGATTTCACTTTCACAGGTTTGAAGATTTCTCAGAAACTGGATCAATCTATTTGGGTAAGTCAAGAACAGTATGTGAAGGATATTCACCCAATTAAGATTGCCAAAGAACGAAAGCTTACTCCTACGGCTCCAGTGACTGAAGAAGAACGTCAAGGATTGAGAGCACTTGTTGGATCACTCCAATATGCATCCGTCAACACACGACCGGATATTGCTTCGAGACTCGGATGGTTACAATCTCAAATCAACAAAGCAACCATATCCACACTCAGTGAGGGAAACAAGATACTTCATGAAACAAAAGTTCACTCAGATGTAACTATCAAATTTCAACCAATTCCCATTGATGACATCCGATTTGTAGCATTTTCCGATGCCTCATTCGCCTCCAGCAAAGTACCAGACTCCCATCAAGGAATGATGATCATGGCCAGTCACAAAAAGATTGCCGAAAACCACAGCTGCCCAGTGAATCCTTTGATATGGCATTCGAAAAAGATTCAAAAGGTTGTGGTCAGTACATTGTCAGCTGAGGCAATGTCGCTAGCTGGTGCAGTAGACAGTTTGACGTGGCTGCGACGGTACTGGGCTTGGTTGCGTGACGGCAATTGCAAATGGCAGTTGGCGGATGAGACGCTACTGCGGTTGCCACCGGCGTTTGCAGCGATCCCCCCAACGGATGAATCCACTGATTCCCAACCACCTTTATCACTCCAAAATGTCCTTTCAAAATTACCCGAGAAGACTCAATCCATTATCACAACAGATTGCAAATCACTTTTTGACCTGATCAGTAGACATGCCCCACCTAGTTGTGGTGAATTCCGAACTCAATTACAAGCGAAACTTATCAAAGAACACCTGCGAAATGGAATCCAAATCAGATGGGTACCATCACAAGCACAGTTGGCAGATGCTCTGACCAAGATCATGGATGCTGCGGTATTGCGCGAATGCCTGGCCCGTGGTCGCTACAGCTTACATGACGAAAATCAGATCCTCCGTGCCCGTTCCGACTCTAGAGCCCGAATGCAGTGGCTTCGCAATTTGTCTCAGGATTCTACAACTGGGGATTCATGGATAGGAAAAGCCAAGACGTCCTAGCTGGAATCATGTTGACTGACAACAGTGTTTTCATTGTTTGCCAGACGGGAATGAATCTTGAAGACTCAGCGTGAGGAACCGCTGTATCTCGAACATTTTATAGATAGAAGGAATTTCAAAGCAATGATGTTCAATGCATGCCTGTTCGAGATCATCAGCTACCTGACTCTCCGTAGCTCAAGGGTGGGCTCAGGCATTGCCCAGCGGAGGGAGGGACATTTTGAGCTTCGCTGTCAGCCATAAAAGGTGCTACGTTTGGTGTTGTGCAGGGCACATAGAAGTTTACAGATCAGGGATCTTTCAACTACATTCTATTGTGGATTTTTCCTTCGGTTGTTGGATAGAGAGGGATTTGGGTATCTCTCAAGGATCGGCCTCCCTACCAATCTTGAGAACATACATACATACATACATACATACATACATACATACATACATACATACATACATACATACATACATATATACACATATACATATACATATACATATACATATACATATACATATACATATACATATACATATACATATACATATACATATACATATACATATACATATACATATACATATACATATACACATACATACATTACATTACATTACATTACATTACATTACATTAAATTACATTACATTACATTACATTACATTGCATTACATTACATTACATTACATTACATTACATTACATACATACATACATATATATATACATACATGTATACATACTGTATATTGATCTTTATACATGTTTGCTTTTTGGATAGATGCAGGGTTTGAGATGACCCAGTGCCACCGGGTCCATTTGATTCGATGATTTACTGATTTTCCTTTTACCTTCTGGTCATTTGTTACATAGCGAACTGGAAAATCACCATTTTTAATGGGAAAATCACCATGTTTAATGGGAAAATCACCATTAAACTAACGTAACTATGGAAAGATCTACCATTTTATAGCTGGATAAATCCACTATTTCGACTGGGCCATGTTCAATAGCTATGTCTGTTAGTTGACCAGAGGGTCAAATGGGTGATTTTGCATAGCTTTATTTGCCGAAGGATACAAATCACGAAAAGTCTTATTTCGTCAGCCAAAACGAATGCCCCGCCTTGGCCAAACGACAGGTCGCCTCAGCCTGAAAAATCGTGGCTGGAAAATCCACCAGGATCCCATTGGGAAATCCCATTGGGAAATCAGCTTGGAATGTGCAACACTGATCCAATGGGATTAGCTATAATAGCTTGGAATGTTATCCCATTCATATCAGCTATAGCTTGGAATTATTCAGGATCAAAGTGATCAAAGCCGAAATGCATTTCATGCATTGGGAGTGCCCCTGACCAAGTATTGGGCTTCCCAATCCATTTCCCTCGTGGTGGTTTCAACCCTGAAAAAGATGAGTCAGTTGGATTTCAAGGGTTGAATCTATATATATATATACATATTACATGTATATTATGTATTATATATACATACTATATTATGTATATATATATATACATGTGAAACCACCAACGAATCAATTTTTCGAAGACCCTTCAAAGGCTTGAACAACGGTCATGCCTCAAATTCAAGCAACATCATCCCATTTCTTGGCCGCCAAAAGGACCCAATTTTTTTCAGGGGATTCGCAGCTCGTGGATTATGATAATGCCCAATATGTAAAGGGTACTATAAGCATCAATGGTACCATCAATGGTACTATAACCATCAATAACATTATGATTATCATAATGGTACTATAACCCCCTTTTTGATCCTCAATCAACCATCATTTATCAATCACATCACCATGTTTGATGCAAAAAAAACATCTTAACACCCACATCACCAGGGGTGTCTGAAATAAGCACTCCAAAATTCGATGCTTTGGCATCATTTTCCCGGGCTGGTTATATCAATTGATATTTCGGGCGTATATCTCAGACACATCCTGATGATGATTAAAGTCCCCCCCTTCCCCCTATACTTAATCATCAACAAAAAAAATATCATAGTGTTCCTTATACTCTATATATGAGCAATCTCGAAAACCCTAGGTTCACAGAAAGGACATCCACGAATTTGGGAAGGTCCCATCGCTTACCACACGTTTGTACGATAATGATATATGGTAAACTTAGGGGGTATTGCTTGCAGGAAACTGCTACATTTATATATATATATAGATACATTTATATACTGTATATATATATATGCATATAATTCACAGAAATCAACGTCCAATTTGGGTATCGCTAATGTGGACATAAGAGAAATACAATGACATAACCTTAAAAAGGGGTATCGCTAATTTGGGAAGGTCCCATCGCTCAGCGTGTGTTTTTAACAAATTTGCATCAATTTCCATACACCAATGTCCGTCCAATACATATTTAGTATTTCCGGAGTTTTTGCGGTGGCTATATATATATATATGTATAATATGTATATATATATATATATACGTATATATACTGTATATGTATATATATATACACATATATATATATATATGTGTGTGTGTCCCAGATTAACATATATTGTTTTTTTTTCAGCCATCTCGCCGGCCTGCCCTCTCAAATCGCCCCGTCGTGTGTAGAGAGCCACCATGTCGACCGCAGCTTTGATGCTGCTGGAGGGGCGACCCCTGGCGAATCACCAGCCGGGACGTCAGATGGATGGGACTTCTCCCAGCTTCCCCGAAAAAAAAAAAAAAACATAAAAAAACCATGGGATCCATAGGGAAACCATAGGAAAACCATAGGAAAATCATAGGAAAATGGAGATATATCTGGTATTTTATCGAAATATATGGTGAATTTGCCATGGAAATATATGAAAATATGTGGAATATCTAGATATATCTACTTGCTGGGAGATATACCCTCTGGTAAACATACAAAAAGCTATTGAAAATGGTGATTTAGTTCGTGGATTTACAAAAAGCTATAAAATGGTGGATCTTTCCATAGTTATGTAAACGTTTACCAAAGGGTACTTCATTACTTATAGCTGGTTGGTGGTTGAGCCGCGCCCCATTTTTTTCCATTGCCATTTCTATGCCTGTCTGGCATGTGGGGGAAATGAGCGAATGATAATGATAACATGAATAGTTAGCTCATTACTGATAGCTGGTTGGTGATTGAGCCTACCCCTCTGAAAAATATGACTTCGTCAGTTGGGATGATGAAATTCCCAACTGACTGGAAATTCATAAAATTCATGTTCCAAACCACCAACCAGATAGGGTTTCAACATGTTTCAACCATCCTTTTGGTGGTGCAGGATTTCGCAACGAACCATATGAAACATGGAGAATCATGGCTTTGCCTGGGGAAGATTCACCTCCTATGGCAAGTCATGAGAAAAGTGAGGCTTTCACCGGGCTTTCACCCGCCTGGCAGCTTCAGCAGCGGACAAGCTTTGAAGGGCCTCCGGAAAATCACCACCAAACTCAGTCGTTGTGGATGGTAATCCCTTGTAATCCCCTGGTATGGTAGTTACACGACTAGTTCACAGCTTTTGATCAATCCCCATACGGCGGTTGATCTAAATTTATCTGCAAACGGCCATTCTTGGCGAATCAAAAAAAGAAAAATACGTGAGCGAATCTTTCGCGAAGCCCACGTTTATCTTTCCTGAGGGTCACATGTTAAAATCGTTCGCTAAATCTTTCGCCCACCAAAAAAAAACACACTTTCCCGAACTCAGAAAAAAACTTTCGCGAGCTTTCATGTTGGAACCCTGCCTTTCTAATGGACAATCTCTAGATGGACCTTTAGATCGATAATATGAAAACACGGAGCTTGGAAGGGCCAGCTCTGCCTCCGCTTCACCTTTGGTGTGCTTCAACCTCGGCCAACAAAAAACGGTTCTCTGCTCGTCCATGGGAAATCCCTGAGAATTCCCCATGACTTTCCTATGTCAATTATCCCAAATGCTCGCGACTGTTTGCGAGAATTTCCCAGCATACTTAGCTCCTGAAACCCAAAAAAATTAAAAAAGAAAATTGAACATCCAGCCATTCACCTGAGTTTCATCATCAAACTAACCAAAGGTTTCATCACTAGCTGAATCCTCCAGTAGATCCCATCCACCCATCCTGGGCACCCCGGACTCCCGGAAGATCTGCAGCGCCTTCTCCGCCGCAGCGGTCGCCACGTCCGCGCTTCGCGCGCGCAGCGCGTGGCGCGACGCACTGAGCTGCGCCTTCGCGGCGCTGCAGAGGTCGCCGGAGCTGTGGAAGGCCTGGAGGGATGGTGGCCATGGTGGCCTCGCTCGGATCCAAAATAAGTGGTTACCCGGCTGGTAAACATAGAAAAAGCGAACTGGAAAATCACCATTGATAGTGAATTTTCCCCATGGAAAAATGGTGGATCTTCCATAGTTATGTTAAATTACCAGAAGGTAATAAGCTGGGTTAGTAAGGTTAAGTGGATGAACTAACTATGGTAAGTCCCATGTTTGAGGTTAATAAGCCTGGTGATCCTAAGGTTAGTAAGGGGATTATAAACTTGGTGATACTTGGAGGAGCCATGAATGGATTATACACATATCCCATCTAAATGGATTATGACTGCGGCTATTAACCATGTGCTAAGTGATTGGCAAAATGGTTAATAACCCTGGTGTTAACATCTTTGAAATGGCAAATATATATATATATAGTTCATTAAAACATCTTTGAAATTGAGAACACATTGGGATATGATAAGAGAAATGATGGGATAATGGGGGATGTGACTATCACTTCTATGCGATTGAAAAGGGGGATTGAAAATACGACTATACCTGAGACATAACACCAAATACTGGTGAAAGCCATGGAATCCGAAATAGCTTGGGATATGATACCGGATATGTTTGAGGATCTAAACTATATGGGCGTGGTTGTAAACCTGCGATCTTTGCAACTCCCCAGCTCTTGAGCTTTGTTGATATTTGACCTACCCTATATATGGTTACTATGGTTTAATATGGTTTAATCCCATTGATTATCATACTTAGTTACTTAGCTGGTTGGTGGTTTCAACCCCTCTGAAAAATATGAAAGTCAGTTGGGATTATTCTTCCCAATATAATATATGGAGAAAAAAAAAATGATCCAAACCACCAACCAGGAATATAGTCGATATCTTTTAATATCCTTTATCAATCTCAAGTAATGTGGGTAAAAAAAAAAATCAACCATCCTCCAATCATCACCATTTTTATAGGTGGTATGGTTACCATTCCCAGGAAAATGGGCGGTTCATGGCATTGGTTTACCCTTAGCAAAGAGGCCTGGCGAATAAACGACTGCGACTACCCACCTGAGCACTTTGCTGTGCCAACTTGGTGGCCTCGGCTGCTGAGCATTGCCATGCCAGGTCCAAAGCCAAGAACTCGCCCGAGCAGTAGCCTTTCTGCTTGAAGAGGGCTGCAGCCTTCTGCGCTGCTTCCCCTTGGCAAACGCGAAATCCCCTGGCTGGGCAGAAAAAAGGGGTCCAGCCAGTCAGTAAGTCATGGAGGTACCCCAGAATGGATGCTACATTTCATGGCTCCCAATCTAAAATGGACGATGACTGGGGGTATCCCCATTTTGGGAAACCAGGCCCACCATGGCTGATGATCTAAGGATGGCTTCCTACCATCCCGTCATTTGTGACGACCGGTATATCTCCATCAATCCCAGTATTGGGTATATCTGGGATGTCTCCAAACCCAAAAATGTGGGCATTTGGCTCGGATTGTTGGAACTCATTGGTACTGGAAAATGAGGTTTTGAACCAGATTGTGGGGTGCCCTATTTTGGGACAAGCCCAGGCTTTGATGGGGGTTTCTGGGCGTCCAAAAGGTCAAAACTTACAGTCCTCGTCCCAAAATCACCCGGAAAAAAAAAAAAACTCCTCAACCTTGGACTTCAATAATTGTTTCAAAAAATCTTCAGTCCTCCATCCGTGTCAAGAGTTTTCTCCCTGAACTGCCTCCTTGCCTGGTGGATCCCCTTCTGTCCCCTTTCCGTGGCTAACAAAAAAAAACATGTGCTTGTCAGTATGCGCCTCTAATTTATAGAACACAAAAAATAATAAAGAAAAACAACACTTGATTTTCCACGAAAGCTTACCAAGTGTTCCAATTTACGGCTGGAGATATACTTTTTCTCACTTTTCAGCAAGTTCACTAATGTTTTACCCATTAAAACCTCCATTTAGACAGGATTTTCCTATGAATTTCCCATATTTCCACATATGTGTCCATATTTTCCTGTCATGTTCCCATAGTTTCCGTTATTTGCCAATTTTTCCATATGTTCCTGTGATTTTCCCCCATGTTCCGATGTTTTTCACAAGGTGGTGCCCCCCCCAGTTATAAATGGCTTATAATCCCATTAACTAGTTCGATATATCACCAACAAAAACCAGCCTGTGAAATTAGACTTTTTTGCACGCACCAACCAACTTCACGAGACTTAGCTGACTGGACCACCACCCTGCAGCCCCCTGCAGCCCCCTGCAGCCCCAGAGCGCCAAGTTTCTGGCCGCACTCATCTCCTCCTTGGCCCCCAAGACTTTCGCCATGCCCAACAAGGCTTTGGCCTCAGTCATCTCCTGAGTCGCTTCGCGTAGGGAGGATCCATGAGGATCCAACATCTCCATAGAAAGCCATCAAATATAGGGATTTGACCATGAAAAATGATGATGTAAACATCAACAATCGGTTTTGAGAATGTCCGAAAACATGCCTTGGCCATCCAAATATATTAATCAAAATCTTCCAAGAATTCCGAAAATGTATATAAAAGATTAGTTATTAGTTATTAATATACCATATATACATATGTCCCATAGCAAATCTCCCAAAAAAGAAGTAATACAATACCTATATCACATGGATTGTTTTTTTTAGGGAAAACCGAAACCAGAAACCATTGGTTTTTTACCATCAAGAAAATGGGGGGGTCCGGTTAAAATTTTCCCACCAATATTTCATGGTAACCAACCAACCAGGTTTGGGATCATCCCTCCATTTCATGGTACCCTCTGGTAATTTGTTACATAGCTATTGAAAATGTACCATTTATAATTCGTTGATTTACCTATTCAAAATGGTGGATTTTCCAGCTCGCAAACTCTTAGTTCAGAGGCTAAATCTGGATGATCCCTCCATTAAATGGTGGATCACCATTTGCTTGGTTTTTTACCATTAAACATGGGTTTTTTACCGTCAATTTTCCCACCAATCCCATGACCCCGCGGCCCAAAATCCCAACCCCTCGGGGTCCAAGTCTCCGTGCTGGCCGCCTTCACCGCCGCCTCGGCGCTCAAGGTGGCCTCCGCCGCCTCGCAGCGCAGCACCCGCAGCCGCGCGCAGCTCACGTGCGCGTCGACCTCGTCCGAGACGTCGCCCGAGTCGTGGGATAAGGAGATCACCTGGACCCGAAAGGTGGGGAAATCCATGGAAAATCCTTCGAAAATCCATGAAACATCTGGAAGTTCACGTGATTTCACCATGAAAAATAGCAGTTTCACCAGCAAAAACGATGGTTTTCTGGTGATTGTGAGAAAAGTGGAGTTCACCAGTGAAAAATGGAAGGAAATTAGGAGATCACCTAATCTTTTGAGGAAAAGCAGAGATTTGGCCATCAAAAGTGGTGACAAATTCTTTTTGCAAGCTCAAAGTGGGGATCTTCCTATCCAAAATTGTGAAGAATTCGGATTTCACCAGGCAACAGTTTGGAATCAGTTTAGATTTCTGGAGAAAAAAATCGATAACTGCTGGAGATCACCCGGATTTCTTCAACAAACCCGAGGGAGTTCCAACGCTCAAAACGTGAGCTTTAGCCTGTAATTCAAGTTGCGATTGAACATCTAAAAAACTCCGGAAGGATAACTTGATAGCTAAAAGTTCAGGATGTCAACAGAAGATGGACTTTTTCGGTGGTGAGAGATGACCTGCTTTTTCGAGTTTTCAGTAAGACATTTTTGGCTTTAGGGGACTTGATCAGCTAAAATTGGATGGATATCAGCAGTAAGAATGTGGGAGTTCACCAACAAAAATTGGGATATATAAACTGGTTGATATTTGACCTACCCTATATATGGTTAGTATGGTTTAATATGGTTTATATAATCCCATTGATTATCATACTTAGTTACTTAGCTGCTTGGTGGGAAAAACCTACCCCTCTGAAAAATATGAGTTCGTCAGTTGGGATTATTGTTCCCAATATATGGAAAAATAAAAAATGCTCCAAACCACCAACCAGTAAATAAACCGCTCATTCGGAACTGAACCACTGTAATTTGGGAGGTGACCTCGATATTGTCTTTGCGAACAGTTGCGGTGACACAACTGCAAAAATTGAAGGGCTCATCAGCAACAACTTCAGGATTTTTAAATAGAAACTGTGTAGTGACACAACATCATACGACAGAATTAGAATATAATCATCAAACCGAATATACCCTCTGCTTACTTAACATAGCTATGGAAGCCATGGCCCATTTAACTCGATGATCTATGATGATCTATCTGCCTATTGATTTCATGGTAATCGTCTAGTTCGCTATGGTAAATAACCAAAGAGTATATCCCATTTCATCCCCATTACTGCTAGGGAATCCCATTCAAAAACCCCATTCAATCCTATTAATCCCCATTGAATCCCATTCAAAAATCCCATCAAATCCCAGCAAAATCCATCCAATATCCCCGTTGAATCCCTGTTAAATCCCATGAAGTCCCCATGAACTTCGCCATTTTCGGCACCTCCTGGAGCAGTCGTAGGGCTGGCTCCGTATCCCCGCGGCAAAGGTGGAGATCCGCAGTCGCCTGGCATCCCACCGATGGCTTGGACAAAGGGGGAGTAGCCGACCTGGTAAACGTTTACATAACGAACTGGAAAATCACAATTTTTAATGGGAAAATCTACTATTTCTATGGCCATTTTCAATAGCTATGTTAGTTTACCAGAGGGTAATGATGGAAAAATACCATCTGAAAACCATTGTAAAATTGCTGATTATTTGCAATATAATGGTGTTCTATGAATCCTAACCATTGATCTTATTATTGTGCCCACAATGATGAAAAGATACGATCTTATAACATTGTATAATTGGTGATTAATTGTTGTTGGTTTGAATCACAATGTCATGGGTTTTTTTACGATCCCATCAACCACCCATGACTGGGAATGGTCTAAACTCTAAACACCACCTATAAAAAGGGTGATGACTGGGTGATGGTTTATTATTGTTACCCACATGAATGATGAAAAAAATACAATCTGAAAAACATGGCACGTTGGTGACTAAATGTGATTAATTGTTACTGGCTTTTCTAAAAAATCCCAACCATTGATCGTTGAGAAATCGTTGCCAAAGTTCCGATCATATTTCTTAGTCCCCAAAACGAAACCTAGGTGAAATGTGGTGGATCCATTCATTTTGGGGCTGCAGCTGGGCAAATTTCACTTCAGGGCGATGGGAGCTCCAGTGGCGGGCCTCAAGAACTGCGGGACCCTGGATGCTTCGCAAAAAGTGACCAAAATCGAAAGTAGATTTTTTGGAATTGCCAAGAAGTCCAAGGTTGCTCACAAAGACCCTGATACGAGGCTGCGAAAGTGAGTCAACAAAGGGGCGTTTTATCTCACAGTCTTCCCCCTCACGCGGCAATCTTTTGCCTGCAACCGGCTGGACCATCCCCAAAATGCAGAGGTGAATGGCAATATATAAATTTGTGTAGTTTACACCCCCTATTTCCAAAACAAAATCCCATATAAAACCAGTTAAACTCCATGAAACCCTATGCATCCCCATGCATCATGGGTACAACCCGATATCAACCCAATTGCCCCCCCTAAACTCTATTAAATTCTAAACCTTCACTAAACATCACTAAACCTATAAAACCCTATCAATCCACAAAAAAATATCACATCAATCCCCATGTTAACCCCCACAATACCAATACAACCCATAAAATCATATAAAGTTATAGAGAGACATCTAAAATCATGCAAAATCCCACTTGTGGGTTCCCTAAAAAACTGATGTAACCCCCAACAAACCCCCATGGTTTCGGCCCAAGCTCCTCTCCGGGCGCCTTCAGTGCCACCAACTCCCCCGGAAGGTCCTCGGCAGCCCGAAGCAGACGCAAGGAGGCGGAGGCCACGTTCAAGGCGGAGTCCACCTGGTGCGCCCAAGATGACCAGTTCATCGGATATTCATTGTGGGTATTCATAGAAAACCATGATCTTGCCATGGTGTTCAGCTATTTTTACCATGGTTTTCAGATGGTATTTTTCCATCATTGCCCTCTGGTACTTTGTTACATAGCTATTTAAAATTGCCATAGAAATAGTGGATTTACCCATTGAAAATTGTGATTTTCCATAGTTATATATGTTAGTTTACCAGAGGGTAGAACATGAAAGATATCATAGAAATCAAATGACCATTTCAGGTGGTGGCATCCCCAAAATGTTCTGTAAAATGTGAAAAAAGATGTTAAATAAAATGTGAATGTGAATTAAAATGATAGAACATAAGTAACTTAGTATGTGTATGTGTGTGTGTGTTAGAACACAAAATTGGCCAATAAAGAACAATATTCATAGAGAAGAATTCTATTTTTAGAAACCATGGCCCGTTCTCATAGAACATTGTTAGAACACATTATATGCTATTAATGAAGACATATGATTACGGAGGTGTCCTAAAATGGAGCTGTCCAAAGTCATGAGGGCACCCCCAAATCATCCAAGTCATTAAACCATTTGTTAGTATTGAAACCTATTCGTGATTTGGGATCCTCCACTTTAAGAAACCACCATATATTAACACGAACATTGCAATGGGAACCTATAGAACAGTAAACAAGAAGAATAAACCTTTGAAGTGAATACTATATTGTGCAACATTAAACACTATAGAATTGAAGTAATTAAGACTTTGACATATAAACACTATAGACTCTAGAACACAATATTGGGAAGATACAATTTTTCACACTAAAGAATTCAGATATTACTATATTAACATTAACATTGTCTGAGTAACATCTACATATCTACCATAATCTACTAGTATACTGTGGAAATAATCCATTTATACAACTAGCGGGTCCAAAACCAACGTACCCCAACTCTGCTGGCTTATTGTCAATTGCCAAAATTGCCGTACGTCCCCCATGTTCAGATACACCCGTATCCATTCTTCATGGTTTAAATCCCTCTTTGTGTTGATACAAATCATGTTAATCCATGTTAATCCCTAATCCCTCTTTCGGTTGCTTAAAATCGTTATTTTGGTTGGTGAAACCTGAATTTTTCCAGGGGTGACACACACGTGGGACTTGGTGCCGCTCCTCCTTTCTGAAGACATAGGCTGAAGCCACTTCGTTTAGCAACGCGAAGGCCTCCGCCCAACGGCCCCGGGGAAGGGGGTGAAACTGGGTAAAAATGCTGGTTCCATAAATGGGGAATCCCAATAGCTGGATGGTTCACAATGGAAAATCCTATTAAAATGGATGATTTAGGGGTACCCCCTATTTCCGGAAACCTCCAAATGAATTGCTGTTTGGGACTTGTTGTCCAAGCCCCAGCAGCTGGTGCTGGGCGAAAAAAACCTTCCGAATCCCGAGGATTCCCCCGTCGCCTCCCCCCTGGAATCGCCAACGTCTCTCAGAGCGGCTGCAGCCTAAAGAAGCACATCGGATCATCCGATAAACCCAACCTGATACCCTCTGGTAAACTAACATAGCTATGGAAAATCACCATTTTTCATGGGAAAATCCACTATAAATGGTCATTTTCAATAGCTATGTTAAATTACCAGAGGGTAGACGCATTCCATTTGGGTTATATGTGATATTGAAGCATTGAAGCATGCCAATTGAGGTGCTTCTGGTGACCGTTCCATGTTTCCACATATTTTATCATATTTTGGGATTACCGTAACCCATTGTTGTGGGTTGAGCCATCCCATGCAGGGCAACCAAACGATGATTGGAGATCTTGGCTGGGTTGCTATACTTAATCATTGAACATAGTTGACCTATGGGTTCTCTAGTTATCTTGACCGATTGACCCCTCTATTCATCAACCAACAAGTGGAACCTAAGTGGCAGGATCTGCCATCATCAGCGATTATTTCCACGATCTTTGGTGAGTTTCGGCAAGAGTTTCCTCCCGATCAATTCTGGCACCGGTGCACTGGTGCACGGCCAAAAACACAATTAGCTGCGCACGGATTCTCTGTAGCGACTCAGGTACATGATTTTTATGCGCCTGAACTGTACATCTCCGACTGCGCCCTTTCAACAAGCAGCAATTCCCTATCATCTACAGCTTAGAGGCCCTTGGGTGCTCCAAAGTCCTGTGGTGAAACGTATCTACACAGCTGCAAGATTGGAGTTGACTCAAACTGTATCAACTAACTTGCCCCCTTTGAAACGGACCTTCAAACATCAGGCTTCGCCACAGCTAGGTCTACCTGTCTACCTACCCTTTTTGGGGTCGCTCAAATGAGTCACTACCATCAGAATCACAGGCTCCCACGTTCAAGTCCATCTTTCCCTGCACTGGATGGCTGATGAACCCAGGTTGTTGCCCAAAAAAAATGCAAAAAGAGCTAGGTCAGTACAGTTCCCGTCTAAAAAAAAATGGGTTTGTCTGAAAATACGCTATCCCCAAAATTTGATTGTTTATCATCTCTTAGCTTAAGGGAGCTTTGGGAATGGCTTTGGGGTGGTTGGAAACATACAGCCCAGTATAGAAGGGATACAGTGGCTTTGGGGTGGTGTATGTTGACAACATACGGCATAGTATAGAAGAAGAATGTAGCGGCTTTGGGGTGGCTTCAGGCCCTGTAGGTTGGCAACATACAGCCAAGTATAGAAGGGATACAGTGGCTTTCAACATACAGCATAGTATAGAAGAAGAATGTAGCGGCTTTGGCTTGGTTTTCACGTCCTGTAGATTGGCGACATACAGCCCGGTATAGACGGGATGTAGTGGCTTTGATGTAGCTTGAAAACATACAGCATGCTTTAGAAGATGGATGTAGCCTTTGGACTGGTTTCAGGCCCTGTAGGTTGGCAACATACAGCATAGTATAGAAGGGGAATGTAGCGGCTTTGGGATGGCTTCAGACCCTGTAGGTTGGCAACATACAGCTTGTATAGAAGGGGAATGTAGCGGCTTTGGGACGGCTTCAGACCCTGTAGGTTGGCAACATACAGCCCAGTACCGAAGGGATGTAGTGGCTTTGGGCTGGTGTAGGTTGACAACAGACAGCATAGTATAAAGGAGACTGTAGCGGCTTTGGTTTGGTTTTGACGCCCTGTAGGTTGGCAACATACAGCCCAGTATAGAAGGGATACAGTGGCTTTGGGGTGGTTTAGGTTGACAACATACAGCATAGTATAGAAGGGGAATGTAGCGGCTTTGGCGGGGTTTTCACGCCCTGTAGGTTGGCAACATACAGCCCAGTATAGAAGGGATGTGGCTTTGGGCTGGTGTATGTTGACAACATACAGCATAGTATAGAAGCAGAATGTAGCGGCTTTGGGGTGGCTTCAGGCCCTGTAGATTGGCAACATACAGCCCAGTATAGAAGGGATGTAGTGGCTTTGGGGTGGTGTAGGTTGACAACATACAGCATAGTATAGAAGAAGAATGTAGCGGCTTTGGGGTGGCTTCAGGCCCTGTAGATTGGCAACATACAGCCCAGTATAGAAGGGATGTAGTGGCTTTGGGGTGGTGTATGCTGACAACATACAGCATAGTATAGAAGAAGAATGTAGCGGCTTTGGGGTGGCTTCAGGCCCTGTAGATTGGCAACACACAGCCCAGTATAGAAGGGATGTAGTGGCTTTGGGGTGGTGTAGGTCGACAACATACAGCATAGTATAGAAGAAGAATGTAGCGGCTTTGGGGTGGCTTCAGGCCCTGTAGATTGGCAACATACAGCCCAGTATAGAAGGGATGTAGTGGCTTTGGAATGGTGTAGGTTGAAAACATACAGCATAGTATAGAAGGGAGATGTATCGGTGTTGGCTTCAGGCCCTGTAGGTTTGCTACATACGGCCAGGCATAAAATCGATGTAGTGGCTTTGGGGTGGTGTAGGTTGACAACATAGAGAAAGTATAGAAGAGGGAAGTAGCGGCTTTGGGCTGGTTTCAGGCCCTGTAGGTTGGCAACATACAGCTCAGTATGGAAGGGATGTAGTGGCTTTGGGGTGGTGTATGTTGACAACATACAGCATAGTATAGAAGAAGAATGTAGCGGCTTTGGGGTGGCTTCAGGCCCTGTAGATTGGCAACATACAGCGCAGTATAGAAGGGATGTAGTGGCTTTGGGGTGGTGTATGCTGACAACATACAGCATAGTATAGAAGAAGAATGTAGCGGCTTTGGGGTGGCTTCAGGCCCTGTAGATTGGCAACATACCGCCTAGTATAGAAGGGATACAGTGGCTTTGGGGTGGTGTAGGTTGACAACATACAGCATAGTATAGAAGAAGAATGTAGCGGCTTTGGGGTGGCTTCAGGCCCTGTAGATTGGCAACATACAGCCCAGTATAGAAGGGATGTAGTGGCTTTGGGGTGGTGTAGGTTGACAACATACAGCATAGTATAGAAGAAGAATGTAGCGGCTTTGGGGTGGCTTCAGGCCCTGTAGATTGGCAACATACAGCCCAGTATAGAAGGGATGTAGTGGCTTTGGGGTGGTGTAGGTTGACAACATACAGCATAGTATAGAAGAAGAATGTAGCGGCTTTTGGGTGGCTTCAGGCCCTGTAGATTGGCAATATACAGCCCAGTATAGAAGGGATGTAGTGGCTTTGGGGTGGTGTAGGTTGACAACATACAGCATAGTATAGAAGAAGAATGTAGCGGCTTTGGGGTGGCTTCAGGCCCTGTAGATTGGCAACATACAGCCCAGTATAGAAGGGATGTAGTGGCTTTGGGGTGGTGTAGGTTGACAACATACAGCATAGTATAGAAGAAGAATGTAGCGGCTTTGGGGTGGCTTCAGGCCCTGTAGATTGGCAATATACAGCCCAGTATCGAAGGGATGTAGTGGCTTTGGGGTGGTGTAGGTTGACAACATACAGCATAGTATAGAAGAAGAATGTAGCGGCTTTGGGGTGGCTTCAGGCCCTGTAGATTGGCAACATACAGCCCAGTATAGAAGGGATGTAGTGGCTTTGGGGTGGTGTAGGTTGACAACATACAGCATAGTATAGAAGAAGAATGTAGCGGCTTTGGGGTGGCTTCAGGCCCTGTAGATTGGCAACATACAGCCAGTATAGAAGGGATGTAGTGGCTTTGGGGTGGTGTAGGTTGACAACATACAGCATAGTATAGAAGAAGAATGTAGCGGCTTTGGGGTGGCTTCAGGCCCTGTAGATTGGCAACATACAGCCCAGTATAGAAGGGATGTAGTGGCTTTGGGGTGGTGTAGGTTGACAACATACAGCATAGTATAGAAGAAGAATGTAGCGGCTTTGGGGTGGCTTCAGGCCCTGTAGATTGGCAACATACAGCCCAGTATAGAAGGGATGTAGTGGCTTTGGGGTGGTGTAGGTTGACAACATACAGCATAGTATAGAAGAAGAATGTAGCGGCTTTTGGGTGGCTTCAGGCCCTGTAGATTGGCAAATACAGCCCAGTATCGAAGGGATGTAGTGGCTTTGGGGTGGTGTAGGTTGACAACATACAGCATAGTATAGAAGAAGAATGTAGCGGCTTTGGGGTGGCTTCAGGCCCTGTAGATTGGCAACATACAGCCCAGTATAGAAGGGATGTAGTGGCTTTGGGGTGGTGTAGGCATACAGCATAGTATAGAAGAAGAATGTAGCGGCTTTGGGGTGGCTTCAGGCCCTGTAGATTGGGATGTAGTGGCTTTGGGGTGGTGTAGGTTGACAACATACAGCATAGTATAGAAGAAGAATGTAGCGGCTTTGGGGTGGCTTCAGGCCCTGTAGATTGGCAACATACAGCCCAGTATAGAAGGGATGTAGTGGCTTTGGGGTGGTGTAGGTTGACAACATACAGCATAGTATAGAAGAAGAATGTAGCGGCTTTGGGGTGGCTTCAGGCCCTGTAGATTGGCAACATACAGCCCAGTATCGAAGGGATGTAGTGGCTTTGGGGTGGTGTAGGTTGACAACATACAGCATAGTATAAGTATAGATGGGGATGGAGCTATCTTTAGGGTGGTTGTGGGCCCCAGTATAGTGGTGATGAACATGCTTGGAGATACCTTTGGGGATGATCTGGTTCCATGGTATCCATCAATGCCAAATGTTTTATCTTCAAATCCGGGGGTCCAAGAGTCCAAGATGGTCCAAGGTATCTCTTTGAAATTTCCATATAGCTGATGATATTTCCACATGGTATTTTTTCTGGACATGTCCCACGAATCGGATTCTTGTGATGATCCAAGTAATGTGGGACACCCAATGATAAAGCATTCCTAATTACCCTCTGGTTATTTAACATAGCCATGGTATAGATGGCCCATTTATAGATGGTTTACCTATTAAAAATGGTGGATCTTTCCATGGCGAACTGTTAAATAACCAGATGGTAATTCCAGGCAAATCCTATGATCAGCAGCTTCCAACATGTCGTGTCAGCTGTCCTTCCATGTCGCTCTGGGCCACTCGCGAATGCACCTGGCGAGGGCACCGGCGTCATGGCCCGGCTTGTTATTGGCTCCACCCCCATCCATTGTTTGCTGACTATCTATCAATGTGTCCATGTGTTGTCGGCAAGTTTGATGCTTGTTCTTCAAAAGTAAATACTTCGGTTTGCATCTACTTTTTGTCTTGTGTAAATCCATGATTTTGTTGAGTAAATGCACAATGTTGCTGATTATACATAATATATATATATATGTATGATGTATATTATATATATTATATTATATCCCTAGTCTTGTACGGTCCAGTGACCCATTTGACCTACCATAATAGTGCACAACTAAAAGGAGTCCTTAGAATTATCAGGGACATTTCAAATAACTTTGCAAACTCCCCCATGTTTGCCGCTATTCCCAGTTGTTTCTTGCCCAGAACCAAAGTCTTCCCCACCTGATAGGATGCGGCCGACGTGGGTCTTGATGCCCGTGTGGCCGAGGTTGGTCTGGAGATCCGCGTGGCCGACGTGGGCCGCGAGGTCCCTGCGGTGGAGGGCCTGGAGGGCCGCGTGACGGCGGAGTTGGGACGGGACAAGCGCGAGGCGCCGGCGGAGGTCGGGCGCGAGGCACCAGCGGAGGTCGGGCGTGAGGCATAACTACTGCGGAGGCTGGAGCGTTTCGACCTGGAGCTGCCATGTTTTTCCGCTTCGTCCCAAGGTTAAGGAAAATGTTGGGAACGGTTGAACTGGTGGGAAATCATGGGTGATTCTAGGTGTGAAAAGGGAGAGGATAGAAATCCTGCAAGGTCGGTTCAAGGATGAAAAATGTGGGGAAGTCAATGAAAATAATCTACAAATGTATGTGAATGTGGATAAGAAAGGGGACTGCCAATGTTTTTTTTGTGGGGGTAAGATGTGTTGAGATCACCAACTCTTGGAGAGATCAGGTCCACTTTGAGAGGGAAATTAAGAGACATGTCCACCATCAAACTTGGAAGTACAGCTAGATCGCCACCAAGACCTTTGGTGATAACTTGTGATAGGGAGCTCCCTACAGTATAAGGCAAAGCTGGATGCCACATGATGCCACTCCGAGCCAGCAGTTCTGAGGCCTTGGCTCTGACCTACTGGGGATATACCAAGTATCTGCGAAGGTGTGCTGGATGTCCTCAGAGTGCCATTCGCCACAAAGGACGGGTCGGGGTCAGGAGAAACTCAGCGATCTTCCCCCCTTTTTCGCCCAGGCTCAGGTGTGGCAGCTATCAACCTGGCAGCAAATCCAGATTGGTGGTTTCAACTCCTCTGAAAAATATGACTTCGTGAGTTGGGATGATGAAATTCCCATATATTATGGAAAATAAAATTCATGTTCCAAACCACCAACCAGAGATACATATATTATATATATATCCATTGCAGCATTTTCGGCATTTCTGCACTGAAGCTTTATTGGTACATCATATATTCCCACTTTTTGTCCCCATAGTATCACCAAAAAAAATCTTGGTTACTAATCCATTGATTCACGAATCTGGTTGACCTTGTCGAGGCTTCACCGGCCGCTCCATCGATGGGGGTTTGCGCATGCACCACTCCTTGCTGTTTCGCCTCGGCGACTCGAAACTTTGTTCGACGAGTTTTTTTTTGCTTGAAGGAGGGGACTGAATCTTGGGTTAGTCCACCGAAAAAATGGGAGCAAAAAAAACTAAAGGATGAAACTACCAAGTGGATGTTTATTGTGTTATCCAGTTATCAACACCGGTTGCGATCGTTATTTTCCAATTGTAATTCTCCAAGGTTGGGGATATGAAGGTCTTTCACGATGTGAAAATACGAACCACAACTAGAAATTCCGAGTGGTCCATCGCCTCAAAAAGATAGGAAAGTCTATGCGATCAGCCCAGTTTCCATGATGTTACATCATGTTTCTGCTAAAAGTTCAAGAACTGGACCGTATTTATGGACCAATTCTCCCCAACATTCATGATTGCCAGACAATTCTCCCACATTTTCCTTAAAAAATAGGTCAGACTTCTCCAGCTCCATTCAGCTCTCAAGGCGCCAGGGCCAAGCGCTTCATGACTTCCTCTTCGCCGTCCGCAACGGCGGCCACGGTGTAGCGCAGGGGTCGCACCAAGTTCTTCGAAGGCCCAAAGAGTTCGAAGGTGCGCGGGAAAAGCGCCAGGAAATCGTGCCTGGAGAGGATTCAATGGGATTTTTCGTAGGATTTTTATGGTGTTTCAATGATGATTGAAAATGCACGCAGTGGTGCCCCCCAGTGGTGTTTGTTGATTTATGTTTGCCATAGTCACTATAGATATACCTAGCATGAACCCTATAGTTATTGGAGTTATAAACCAACCTTGTATGTAATAGATGTATAAGGATGTATAAGGTTCATATTTATACCTTCGGGAGACTTGAGAACCTCTTCAGGGCGGCTTAAATCTGTCGATAAAGATACAAGATTCTCACCATATATTCATCTATAGATATGTATATATGATGATATTGTATAATTATACACGCATGTGTATATATATATATACTTATAGATGGTGACATACACTGAGTATATGCTATGCGTGGGCCTTTCAAAAACTGGAGGATTTCACCCTTAAAAATAACCAGTAGAGCAATTCACTGGGAATAGCGATGCAATAAGCAGTACTATGGTAAGCTGAAAAATTCCAGGATTCGATTGGTGCACATCCAGTGGGACTTCTTAAAAATGACTTTTATGAGTGGGGTCAAAAGTATGGAGCCATCGATGGGGATCCACCATGAATTTTTGCGATGACTGTTTCGCAATCACTGTGAGTAAAGGTCACAACCAATAGTAAGCGTTTGATATTATATTATATCCAATGTCTTGCTCAGAGTGTTGGAATTCCAATGATCATAGGCGTTTTGTGCAAATGAAATCTTTCAACAATAAAAAAAAAGTGGTGTGGAGGTTCACAGTCAATGGCTCCTCTTCATCAACCGTCATCAACCTATGGAGGATCCAACCTTTCCCTCCCCAGCTTGGTGCTGCGATCCCTGCGATCCCAGTGGCAAGCACAAGTTCAAGCGATCCCACGAGCCGTAGCGTCGGCACGAGGAGCAATAGGCCTTGTTCAGCAGCTGCAACGACCAGTCCTGGAGGGGGCGCCGGGGCGACTCCCCAAAAAATGGGAGGGTCCTAAGTATCCTAAGTCATGGGGGTACCCAGTTCCAAGCAACTCCTGATGACTTTCAAAACCAGTTTGAAAAGGTCAAGCTCCAAGCCACCTTGCAATTCGCAGGAACTTGATTCCGCAGGATGTACAACAAATCCTCCGCATCGGCGCGAAACTTCATCCAATGCGGCACGGAATACCTCTCGAGAGCTGGGCAAAAGGTGATCCGTGGCCCATGACCTTCCCCTTCCGTTCACAGCTCCGCAGTACTGAGACGTCTGAATAAGCAAAGCTAAAGGTTTCAAGTCCAATAAGCGTAGATCCAGCTAGTAGAACTTAATTTTCAGCAATTCTATAACCAGGGTATTTCTGTTAACCCAGGTAGATCCAGCTAGTAGAACTCCCAGACTCACCTGACCACACCGTGATCTGGTCGCCATAGTCCCTGCTTGGTCCTCCAGAGTTCTTCCGCCATTGGCACTTCCATCCTCGCTTGGAAGATTGGGATCTCTTTTTGGAGGACTGTTGGAGTACATTAGGATGATGTGTTCATAGGTTTTAATAATTGTTAGATGATGTTTGAATGTTCGAACAATTCTTGGATTATTTTTGGATGATGTTCGACCAGTTTGTGGATGTCGATGTGCCAATTTCTTTCGGGAGATCTTCGCTGTTGGTTGATTTTCCAAGAATCAAACCAAAAAGTTCATGGGGGTTTGCCAACAAGTAGGGGAAATTCTGGAGGTTCAATGTGAAATGTTCCAAGTCATGAAACTATGAAGTGCTGATCAAAAAAAACGTCGTCCAAAACTGGATGAAAAAAAAAACGAGAATCTTACCTTTGTTCATCGTCAACTCGGCAGGTTATCCCATTTACCCTCTGGTAAACATACACAAAAAATGATGGAAAATCGCCATTTTTAATGGGAAAATCAACTATTTCTATGACCATTTTCCATAGCTATGTAACAAATTACCAGAGAGTAACTGGGTTACATCAGATGTTATGATATGTTATGAGCCCACCCCAGTGAGCAGCTGCAGGTACATTTCTGGTCACCAAGCATCATAGCGATGTTCACTGGCCGCTGATCGCCGTTCCGCCAGTGAGGCCAACCTTGGCAGATAGCGATTTATGATTTCTTAATGCCCCCGCTTTATATGGTTGGATATACCCTCTGGCTATTTAACATAGCCATGGTATAGATGGCCATGTATAGATGGTTTACCTATTAAAAATGGTGATTTTCCATGGCTATGTTAGATAACCAGAGGGTAAGAATTATTGTTACATACCGATATTGTGGATATAATATGATATAATTGTTATTCTGGATAATTATGGATACTCATGGTTTTATTGCTATTGATCTGCATCTCAATCCCCCTAAATATGGTTGTTATAGAGTTTCATAGGTATTGATTCGCAGCTATAGAACTCGTATTTTCACTGTTTAAGCGTCATGGTTATCTGGATGTATAGACTCTATAGTTATCGCATCTATGTCATGTATAATTTGCAAAAAAACGGCTTTCGCTGGCCGCGGAAAATCCATCACAATAAAAATTGGATGTTCCTGTCTGAATAGCTTGATTTTAAGAGAACATCTTACAGGAAACCATCTGTTTTTACCACTACACCACTATGGGGGGGGGTCCCCGCAGATTTCCCCTTCGACCAATTTTGGGATCCGATTTTCTCATTCAACGTTGGATTATGAATTGAATTATGGATTATTATGGATAATTATTGTTACATAGCATGGGATATTGTGGATAAAATATAATATGTGATTCTGGATAATTATGGATACTCATGGTTTCTCATATGTTACCATTTTCATTTATGGATATATAATTGTTATTATAATGATTGATGATTGTCTCATGGATTTCCCATATCTTACCCTCTGGTAAACGTTTACATAACTATGGAAAATCACCCTTTTATAATGGGAAAACTCACTATAAATGGCCATGTTCAATAGCTATGTAACAAATTACCAGAGGGTATGATTTTTATTGCCATGTCGAAAAAAACCAACCAGAGAGGGCACCATGGCATGGCACATCGGATGGCACCAAGTCACGTGGACGATAGGGTTGAAACGCCTCCGCATCCACCTGCAAAATTTAGAGTCATCAGTTGGCGTCGTCATCACAAAGAAAATGGTTCATTTTAAATTGAAAATTGTGATGACTTATAAAGAGTTTTATAGTCTATAGAGTCTATAGAGTTTTAAGTCATCTAAAAATTGAAAAAAGATGAAAAAAGAACTTAAAACAGACTTAAAACTCCAAAAGAAAAGGTTGGTCTATGTTGGTCTTGAATTTGAGAAAATGGCACCTGCGACAATTTTTTTCCCGTCAACGATGGGATCGCTAAACTTCGAAGGTCACATCATGTGGGGATGGTTTGGAAGGATTTACCAAGATTTGCCTAAGAAAAATCCAGAAAACAGGATGGTATCAATATAAATCATGACGAAATCAGCTGGTGATAGCTGGTGGTTTTATCATGAACCATGACTTTGAAAACACAACGGTCCGGTGCCCTGGAATCCAAATCTTCGGTCACCGCCGGGGCCCCATCGCAGCAACCTTTTGCAGCACCTTTTTCTTGCGCAGCGCCGGGTTTTAGCCTGCGCTGTGCTCTTCTTGCCTGGGTTCTGTTTGGGCCAGAGGAACGATGTTGCTGATGTTGATACGAAAACTGCATGATCTGTTTCCAAAACTTGTGGAACCTCAAGTCATCAACTGGATGGATCCACAGAAGCCCACGGCCACCATTGGTTGAACCTAAACGCCGAAGCATCGGGAGGAAGGTGTCTAAAGTCTGACCCATCCCATGTTTATTGTGATGTTGATTGGTCACTTTAATATAGTTTACCCTCTGGTAAACGAACATAACTATGGAAAATCACCATTTTTATGGGAAAACTCACTATAAATGGCCATTTTCAATAGCTTTTTGTATGTTTACCAGAGGGTAATCCTAGTCTGACCCATCCTAGTCTGACCCATCCTAGTGATTTATCAAAAAATTGCTGGCCCAAACTCATCCAACTTCTTGGTCAAAATTAAGCGATTTCATCAGGACACCCAGGGTTTGGTCCCAGTTCTCGATGCTCGTTGCTGATGATGCAACGATGACGACCCGAATGGATACTGTAACCCCCTACAATCATCAACCAATCATCATTCATTATCCCCAATTCATTGCTGGTTGAAACACCTGAAGAAAAAAAAAACTGGTTGGTGGTTGACCTACCCCTCTGAAACATATGAAAGTCAGTTGGTATGATGAAATTCCCAATACATGGAAACATGAAATTCATGTTCCAAACCACCAACCAGCCATATCTTAGTGGTTTACATTCACCAATTTAGAGAAAATCATCAACCAACGCTGTCCATCTGCAGCTGAAAGGTGCACACAACCTTGGTTGTCACTGTCATACATGCCGCAGTCTCCTTCAACCAGCTCCTGACGGCCGCAGTAGCTGACTCATGTTGATTATGACCCTGGCAGATTGGTAAGTTTCCGCTAAAAAGATGGTTACTTTCTCTATGAGAATTTAGCAGATGGATGCAGATGGTATAGTTTGGGGATGTTTGGGGTAGAAGTTCCCAATTTGGGGTATGGATCGAAATTCATAGTATATACTCTGGTTTCACACCAGTTCCGATTCTGGACGTTCATCCCTCCATTCGCCAGAAAGGTCCAGAGACGAAGGAAAAACTTCAACGGGACACACCACAACTCCCTTCCTCTGAAAGTTAAATTCTCACTCTACTTATGATTTAGTTGTTGTAATATGTTGTAATTTTCCTACTTATCATTTAGATTCATTCAGTAGTTCTAATCCGCCATTGAGCCATAGATTTGAACAGTTCTTGGAATTTCAAAGGAATCCTGCCACCAGGTTTTGCCTGAAGGCTAAGCGGCTAACCCCACCCCAAATTTCATGGTGTAAACCTGCGTGTTCCCGTAGAAATTGTAATACCTTGGGGCAAAATCCACCATGTTCGACGGCTTTCCCTGGTTGCCCATCATTCCGGGGCGCCTTGGGGTCGTCGCAGCGGGAAACGTGCTCCCGCAGCTCGCGCTCCGCGGTGGGTTGCGGAAAGGTTCCGGCGCTCTGAAGCGAGACCGCCTTGGGCGGCGAACTGGACATGGTCTCTGGTCATGGGATCCCCAGTCGTCATGGCTAAGTCACGGTGCTAAGTCACGGTGCTAAGTCACGGTGCTAAGTCACGGTGTAATGACGATGATTTGGGGGTAACCCCCATAGATCCCCTGGGCTGAACCACTGGGATGAGCCAAGTATGGCTGGGGATGTTCAATTTCAACCTCCCAATGTGATGGCTAAAGCAGCTGGAAAGTTCATGTCTTAGAGGACCAGGTCAAGCAGCTTGGTAAGGGGTAGATACTGCTGAAGAAAGGGGGAGGTTGGCGGCCAATCTTATAGACAAAAATGGAGTACATGAATTTCTCAGCCATGAGTTTCTGTAGAGTGGGATATGAAACAACTATTGGCAACCATCAAACAGGCTTTAAACAAAAAAACACATGATTCGAGTGGTCACTTGGGTCACTGTTGTCTTACCCAAGAACAGTAACGATGTTCAGGTCTCATCAAACCATCAGATTGCGCCTGCAAATAGGCACCATACTCAGAAGCCAAACGCCGTTTCCTGGGCAGCATGTGACACAGTTGGTTGGGCTGGAGTCAGCATTCCATTTCTGGTGAAAATGAAACATGGGTAAAAAAAATCCAGCAAAGTTGACAAATATCATCATGGCTCACAGAAATGAAACCAACAGATTTCTCCCAAGATTGATTGTGACCATGCAGCGCTTGATCACTTTGGTACCAAATCTTTGAGCTACAACCATTCCCTTCAACCAGGCTTCAATGCCGCTTCTAGCGAAGCATTCTGACACAAATCGGTGCGATGCCCGAAGCGATACTGCCGCCGGCGAAAGCGATAGCTCTCCGGAAATGGCCGCCTGGCGCCCAAAAACTTCGCCACCTCAGAACCGGGACGATGGAGGGTCCATTTCTGAATCGCACCCTTTTAAAAAACAAAGGAGGTCCAGTCATTGAGCACATGAAAATGTAGATGTTTGATGGTCAAATATCCCATCTCTTGCCCGAAAAAACTCCAAATCCACATTGTGTTTCTTCAGAATCCGATGATGACATCCCTTTTTTCATCATGAACATCAACTTCTCCCAAGATCACCATGGTTTGGTGGTCAAATCTCTAAAAAAAAACTCGATCCAAATCCATGGTGGCCCCATGATTTCCATGCTGATTTTCCCCATGGTTTTCATCCGCTAAGGCGCAAAATTGTAGGTCTCCCGAGCTGACTCAGCACGCAGGGATGCTTGGTGGAGAACGAGCAGCCGATCTCTGGGAAACCGGATCATCGCCTGGATACTTGGATGTGCATATCAGTTAGTGGTTTATATAACCCATATATATATGGGAATATCCCATATATATAACAAGGGATATCATGGATATATACTTTTTTTATGGTTAGTATCCACTTGCTAAGTGGGATGCACCCCCAAGTGTATTATGGGGATAGCATCAACATATGGGAAGTTGGATATTCAACTAATGGAAATCTTCAACTGTTCAACTATCCCCAACATCATTTTGTGATTTTCTGGGACTTTCATTTAAATGGGGATTTTCCATGGGGATTTCATGTGGTTTAATGGGATATTACCCTCTGGTAAACTAACATAACTATGGAAAACCCACCATTTTTAATAGGAAAAATCACTATAAATGGTGATTTTCCATAGCTACGTTAAATTACCAGAGGGTATGTGGGGGATAAAATGTGGGGGACTTTTTTCATGGATTCATGGGACATACCCTGTGGATCCCTGATTGAATCGAATCAAACCAGGGGGATTTAACCATCAAAATTCCATAGCTAAATCATCGGTAACTAGCCATGGGCCATGGCAAACGTAGCTATGTTAAAAAGCTATGGATCAATATCTATGCCTATGTATATTTATAGATATGTATATATATATACATATATATATATGTAGAGATGCAATTTTCACGGGATGAACATCCAGAACTACCAGCTATATTGGGGTTCACCAGGGGTACAGTGTTTTGACCCATCTCCAAATTACCCAAGGCTATAATTCCTGGACATCGAAATGGATGTTTTGATGGGAGTTATGGGCCAGGATTGCCTTCCCATAATGCTGATCTGCGGGTTAGTATGGGGTTAAGCAGGGTGAAAAAAAAACGGTTCTCCTGACATTGGGGATACCGTACCACAATTTGATGGCTATCATTGGGGGAAAATGATGATGATGATGATGATGATGATGATGATGATGCATTGGATTTGGGGATATCCCTCATGTTGGGGCAAACACACAGGTTTTCCCCCCTTGGAAAGACGGAAATCCGGGATATCTATCAGTTGCTTCAGGTGGACTTCATGATTCAGTGCTTTGAAGGGAAATCCCTACAGATTCCCTGGGACTTCCACAGTTGATATGGCAAGATGCAAAGAAGGGCCGAGCATGCCATCCTTCAACACCAGATGCACGAACCATACCGTTGTTCCCACCAAAACAGCAACGGCTTCATTAACATCCTTGAAATATCTTGACATGTCGCAAGCCATGCCATCAAAACCCATTCGAATCCCCATGTTTCACCGACCCAGCACCTGCAAATGGGGCCCTACCAGCTGCGCACGCAGCCAGCTTTGCAACTCCACCCGGAGCAAGGCACTGATGCTGCCGTAGCAGTGCTTCCCTGCAGGGAAGGTCGGATTTTTTTGGAAAAATCTTGGGTGCCCTGCCAAAGGAAAAGATATTTACCTGGTTAGAAATTAAACGATTACCAATCAAGCTTTCCATTGCTGAAGCTCGTCTAAAACTCGGTCCATCCCAACTGATAGAAGTAATCTGATAAAGTTAACAAAGCGATACATTGCATCACATTGCGTTACATGCATACATTACATCACATTGCGTAACATTGCGTTACATAACTCCTAAAGTTTAGACAACAACATTTAACCAAAAAAACACTGGGTATTGGAATGACTCTCCCCCCGAGTTATTGTAAAATCAACCCACACCACCGAGATTTACCCGGCTACATCCCAATTGAGGATTACAATTGGAAGAAAAAACACGTGTGATCAATGAAATCTCAGTACCGCCCCAAAACGGGCAACAACTGCTTTTGAATAAACGTGGATTTGGACCCCCTTGGAAACCTCGGAGAATCTCTGGCGCCGCGTCGTCACGTTGAACTGCTGCTTCAAAGTCAGCGTGACAAAATTTCCTGCAGAAAATCCCCAGGTCAGGTGCTTTTTTGGAAACCTTCGGTTTCAGAAAGTCTTGGGATTTTCCAATGCTGTGTTGAAACCCGGATACTTCAGGGCCTTCAGGAGATCCCTAAATTGGATGTAACCGTGTAACCCCAAATTGCCATTGGTTTAGCCAACGCTAAATTGGGGGTTCACCATGTTTGAATGATTTATAATCAACCCCAAAACGAGACGTAGTCAAGCAACTTGGATACCAAAACTTAAAACTATTTGAATATCAACCTCTTAAACTCTCAAACTTCCTTAAGTTCAACAAAAAAACTATCACCAATAAAAAATCCCATAGCGGTTTCACCAGGCTTCCAGTACCAGAAGATCTTCTCAATCCGTCGGAGAGGATCGCAGAGAACCAGGATCATCTTTATGGCGCTCTGAGCAATCGCCAGATAGGACAAGGGAAAGGTCACGATCATCGGATTCTTCAGCCCCATGAGAGGCCCCTAGCCGTCACGAGGTCAACGAATGGTAGGACTTATGTGAATAGAAATCATAATATCAATCACTCGTAGTTTTGATAGGTGGTTGGATTTGTGCCATTTTCACGAGGTTAACGATTGGACTTATGGTGGATATTTCACATATCTATAGTTGCATGTGGTTATAAACCAACTGATTCTGTAACTGGCACCCACCTGTTGGAATTCAAGATATGTTTGACCCAGGGAACCAGGGATTCTTGAGTCACCATTTTGGGGTACCCGATTTTGACCAAGGCGTTCAGAAGTTCATGCACAGTGTAAAAATGGGACAGTTGAAGGCGCCTACTCATAATTTCCAATCTATGTGGATGGTTCACCATTTGCGGTTGTCTTAGACTTTTGTGACCCCAATATCCCACAATATATATATATATATAATCGTATAAATCATCACTTTGCCCACTATTTACTGGCCAATTTCCGGGCATCCCTCCGTTCCAATCCCCAACCTTTATGGCTATATACTATATAAAAAGAACAGTCTTTTCCTGCTTAAAACCCACCATGCAACAGATTTTTCTAGGACTAAATCCCCCATTTCTGCTTAAACCCAGCATGTGAAGAAAGGCCCCCCGCCGCCGCTGCCTTTCTCCCAACGATCTGCGTCGTTCCGAACGGTGCTTTGGGGCGGCTCCGTGCAGTGAGATGCTGCTGCAGCCACCAGCTGCTGGGCACCAACTTGTTGCGTTGGCCCTGCATGAAGAGACTGTAGTCCTCCATGGTAGGACCCCTGGTAAAGTCGATCTCCTGATGGGGCTGATTCTTACAGAGATCATGGGGATATTTTTATCATAGGCCAATTAAAATAACATCGATATGAGAGGAACATTGATAATATTGATTGGGTATTTTTATGGTTATGATATGGTTTAATCATGGTTGATAGCGACTACTACTGATTCTTATTATTAATGGTTATACATGGGTATAACCATGGGATTCTTGGGTATAAATAGGATTCTAATTTCTAACCCTCATAAGTTGGGATACGGGGGCCCTATAAATATGGTGAAATGCATCCACTTAGATTTTGCCAAATCATGATGACATCTTCAAATCAAAGCTGCTACAATGTAAGCAAGATCCAAGAGATAACAAAGCTGATTTGCCAAGATTTGAAGCAAAAGAATATGTCCACACAACACGAGGTCTGAAAAAAGTCCTGTCGAAGATAACTTCATAAAGTCAGAAAATGATCTCCCAAAAACAAACATGGTCGATCATCATAGTTTGCATTCTTTGATTATCCCATTATTTATAGGTTTTCTACCATCCCAGTGGTGCAGGATTTTGCAACCATCCACAGTATTTCATGGGGTCAAAAAAAAACGCTGCTTCCACCAAGTCAAGAAAATGATGCTGAAGTCCCATTTCGATGGCCAGGGCCTATTGGGTCAAAGATACACCATGTTTATTCAAATGGTGTTCCAAATTTTTATGGCCTCAATTGACCACAAAAAAAAAAAACAAGAGTCTCATTTCCGCCAGAAAATGTTCCGGGCCCTTTACCGATTACAAGTCCGTGTGAAATCACGCCATCTATGGTCCAAGCGATACCCTCTGGTTATGTCAAAAGTTTGCTATTGAAAATGGCCCAGTCGAAATCGTTGATTTTCCCATTAATAGCATGGTGATTTTCCGTTATGTCAACGTTTACCAGAGGCTAATGCTAATTTTCATATCACCATCAAAAAATATCACTGCTACATATTTCGCCAATTTCCACCATCCACCACTATCAAGTCACTCAAATCATCTAAAAAATCACTGGTTATTTAACATAGCCATGGTATAGATGGCCCATAGAAATAGATGGTTCACCTGTTAAAAATGGGTGGATCTTTCCATGGCTATGTTAAATAACCAGATGGTAAAATCACTGGTTTTTCTAGATCCCAAGGCTTCCACCACCAAGCGATACCCTCTGGTTATGTCAAAAGTTTGCTATTGAAAATGGCCCAGTCAAATAACCAGCAAGTCACTGCATGCTGGAAGAGGTTGAAATGCACCGAGCTCGTGCCGCATCGTTCCGCGCCAGCCACCACGAAGTCCAGGCTGGCGCTGAGATTTGCCCAGGCCATGAGCTCCGATGGGTCCACGTCCACCTTTTTCAATCGACGAACGAGGCAGAGAAATGCTTCTGGGCCATGTTACATGGATGATATTTGGAGAATATTAATGGGATATATGGGATATGATATATGGGATTATTAATGGGACTATTAATGGGATTATTCATGGGATCTCTATATATATATGATAGTAGATAGGTGATCTGGTTGGTGGTTGACCTACCCCTCTGACAAATATGAGTTCCTCAGTTGGGATGATGAAATTCCCAATATATGGAAAAAATAAAAAAATGTTCCAAACCACCAACCAGGTATTATATGTATGTAAATATATATATACACATATTATGATACCAATTCAAAAACATCGATGGTTGAGTCCTCTTTCCAAGATCAGTGAGGTAATATGTTGGAAGTCCAAGATATATACATATATCGAGTTATATGAGTATTTAGCTATTAGTACGATTATACTTGTTAGTAAGCGGCCATGCTGACTTTTTTTACCTGATTAAACATTAAACCAGCCAAACGTTTGTTTAAGTCTGTTTTTCACATATTTCCCTGACGCAGTACACCCATGATACCGTAGAGTATGTATCATCACCAAGGCCTACACAGGTTCACAAAACCTGACCCAAATCAAGAATTCGCGGTTTCGGCTGTTCATTGATTGCATCTTGATAAAACGCAAAGCTTCCAATTGTGGATGGTCGGATGGTCCCTGAAATGCCTCCCAGAAATCAGTGATTTAGTATTGGATCTATTCATGTTGGGGTCGCAAATGGATGATACTTAGGGAATGTTAGGGGGAAGGGACTACATTGTAAAATCTCATAGCTTGGTCTATTATGGTTTATTACAAAACAGTTTGATGATGTCGAATTGAATTGGCTTTGGTACATAAGGGGCTCTTAAAATAGGGATTTCCCGAAACCATAGGTTTCAAATATGTTCAAATACTAATTCACGGTCATCCATGACGACTGGATGATGCTTTTGGGTGGACCTCTATTTTGGGAAACTTCCATAAAGCTTTGACCATGGGAGTACCCCCTTTCCCACCTCATCTTCCTCTGGTCTTCTTATCATCTCTATGGGTCGCTTCAACAGCTGGGCCATGAAATGATGCATGGCGACCCGGCCGATGCTGTTCTCATTGCAGCTCCGCGGGCCACAGAAAATGCCATACATCACGGCCGGTGCCCCGCCAGTCCTGAGGGCTCCGAAGGAAATCACCATTTCACCACGAAGAAACCTACAACCACTTAGAAACCAAAAAGATCCAACTGGCTCCTTGAAAGCTCCGGATGAATCTCCTCCACTCTGTTCATCTCCATTCCAATCTCCCAGGCGCGAGCTCCGCGTCGCTGGCAGCACTTCACCACTTCCGAGGCGTGGAGCATCAGCTGACCGATGTGCTGCGCCGCATGGACGCCGGGGCGGTAGGTCCCTGGCAGCCCCACCGGGCACGGCACCGGCGCCGCGGCGAAGTCCACAGCGCAGCGCTCCAGGGGTGACGACATGGCACGCCGCGGGCCGCTGCGCGAGGCCAAAAACGGCCATGATTTGAGGCAAAGCCCCCCCGAAGTCATGGAAATATGATGGGAAACGGAGGTTTTGACCATCAAATTTTGGATTTGGAATTTTATGGACAAATATAATTGTAAACACACACACAGTTAAACCGTGGTGTAAAAGGGGATGAAATCACATGTTTGGGACCATAGAATGGGGGCTGTTTTCAGTTTTTCAAGGATTTTTCAGTACCGAAAATGTGGGATGATCCATGTGGGGGTCTCCATGGGTTTCCAAGATTCTCCAGCCATAGCCAGCGCCATCGCACCTGCGCAACGGAGCCTCTGTCTGAACATCGCAGCGTTCCGGCCGTCCGGGGCCTGCACAGGCTGGGATTGTCCCGAGATGGTTACCCGGCCTGGTAAACATACAAAAAGCTATTGAAAATGGCCATAGAAATAGTGAGTTTTCCCATTAAAAATGGTGATTTTCCATAGTTATTTTGACATAACCAGAGGGTATCACAGGCTGGAGAGCTAGGATGTAACGACGCTGAAAAAACATGGGAGAAACTTAGGAAAAAGATCTGATATCCCGAATAAACCATGGATAACAAGTTGATCCAATGTTCTTCCATGTAACCTTGGATGGCCTGGAGAATAAGCAACACAAAGTCGGCTTTTTTGTCCGATCTTTCCCCATGGGGATAACTGGCAACCATGGTTGTAATCCAATGGTCTGTGGTGTATGGGGGAACAGGTATACAATAACTACAACAAGTACAATAAGCAAATACTGACATTCGACCAGCTGGAAACCATGACTTGCTGATTACCGATGATGGCAACATAAGGCAACACACGGCTGGACATTTTAGAAGCTTCGACGCGAATCATGTTCTTATCCCGAACAGAACTAGTTCAGGAACATGAGATGTTTAGACTTACTGTAGACCTTTTGGGACATGCAAAAAAAACATGGAACTTGGTTGCGCATCCCAGAAATCGTAAGCGGCCTATATGTTAACTATATGTGTGTGTATGTATGTATGTATGTATGTATGTATGTATGTATATATATAGGTAAATATGTGTAGATCTGTGTAGATATGTGTAGATATGTGTAGATATGTGTAGATCTGTGTAGATATGTGTAGATATGTGTAGATATGTGTAGATCTGCGTAGATATGTGTAGATATGTGTAGATATGTGTAGATATGTGTAGATATGTGTAGATCTGTGTAGATCTGTGTAGATATGTGTAGATATGTGTAGATCTGTGTAGATATGTGTAGATCTGTGTAGATCTGTGTAGATATGTGTAGGTCTGTGTAGATATGTGTAGATCTGTGTAGATATGTGTAGATCTGTGTAGATATGTGTAGATCTGTGTAGATATGTGTAGATATATGTAGATCTGTGTAGATATATGTAGATATGTGTAGATCTGTGTAGATATGTGTTGATCTGTGTAGATATATGTAGATCTGTGTAGATATATGTAGATATGTGTAGATATGTGTAGATATGTGTAGATATGTGTAGATATGTGTAGATATGTGTAGATATGTGTAGATATGTGTAGATATGTGTAGATATGTGTAGATATGTGTAGATATGTGTAGATATGTGTAGATCTGTGTAGATGTGTGTAGATCTGTGTAGATATGTGTAGATCTGTGTAGATATGTGTAGATGTGTAGATATGTGTAGATATATGTAGATATGTGTAGATATGTGTAGATCTGTGTAGATATGTGTAGATATGTGTAGATCTGATATGTGTAGATATGTGTAGATATGTGTAGATATGTGTAGATATGTGTAGATCTGTGTAGATATGTGTAGATCTGTGTAGATATGTGTAGATCTGTGTAGATATGTGTAGATCTGTGTAGATATGTGTAGATATGTGTAGATCTGTGTAGATCTGTGTAGATCTGTGTAGATATGTGTAGATATGTGTAGATCTGTGTAGATCTGTGTAGATCTGTGTAGATATGTGTAGATCTGTGTAGATATGTGTAGATCTGTGTAGATATGTGTAGATCTGTGTAGATATGTGTAGATCTGTGTAGATATGTGTAGATATGTGTAGATCTGTGTAGATCTGTGTAGATCTGTGTAGATCTGTGTAGATCTGTGTAGATATGTGTAGATCTGTGTAGATATGTGTAGATCTGTGTAGATATGTGTAGATCTGTGTAGATCTGTGTAGATATATGTAGATATGTGTAGATCTGTGTAGATCTGTGTAGATCTGTGTAGATATGTGTAGATCTGTGTAGATATGTGTAGATCTGTGTAGATATGTGTAGATCTGTGTAGATATGTGTAGATCTGTGTAGATATGTGTAGATATGTGTAGATCTGTGTAGATCTGTGTAGATCTGTGTAGATCTGTGTAGATCTGTGTAGATATGTGTAGATCTGTGTAGATATGTGTAGATCTGTGTAGATATGTGTAGATCTGTGTAGATCTGTGTAGATATATGTAACATGTAGTATCACTAGGGTTTATAACATTTGTAACTGGGCTCCACGTCTCGAATCTTCGGCCCTTGACCATGCCAGACCTGGAGCTAAAGCTGTCCACTCGAAGTCCGCAGCGAGACGACATGGTTTCACCAGCCAGCCGAGTGTTGATTTTCTTGTTGGTGACACTTGGTCACTATGCAGTGATTTTTGCAGTGTATCTGTGTCTTTCTGTGATTGTTGAACATTTGAAAGCAAAAGTTTACCAGGTCTTCTACAAACTCTAGGACCTAGGATTGCCAAGAAGTGGCATGGCTTCCGGGATGTCACGACTCAAACCTTCCAAGAGATGTGCCTCTCTTGAGCCCCCAGCGCTACTATTTTAACATGAACCATTGTATGCCACTCTGCCCAGTATGCCATGTGTTCACAACCCTCTGTCATTCCATGAAATACTGGTTGGTTCATAGGCATGTCCATAGTGGATTAAAGCCTCCATATATTGGGTAACCCCCGAACTGATCGTCAACCAACAGAGGTTTAGCAGCCAAGCCATCTTGAAGTACCAGACATTAGAATTGGTTGCACCTAGTTGCCTACTACAGCTGTGGATTTCTCTTGATGTTCCCTAGTTTGTGTTGTTTGATGCTAGTTTCTCCACGGTTACTTAATGCCATGTTTTTTCCGATTGATATGAATTGTCCAACAATGTTTTATCATTTCCCATGTAGTGACTAGGATTAAGTAAAACAATATTGCCAAATTGCATGAATCCTGCATATTGTATCCGATGTACCGGGTATTAACTAGGGAATTCATATAGACAGAATTGTATCCTTCATCCTTCCGACTATCCCATGACAACTAGCCATCCCCAGACTTCGGACCATTTCCTCGAGCGCGGCGCCGTGCCGTGCAGTTGCCAACCACTAGCCTTGGCCGGAAAAATCCGTCACAAGAATCAGATATTCATCTGGCGCCATTGGATATATTTGAGCTATCTTTGGTGTGTTCAAAATTTCGAAAAAACCTCCACTGGATGGTCTACCGCCCAGAACTCCTTGCTTTGCAGATGTTCTTTGGGGGAAAACAAGGCCGAAAACAACAACCTCCATCCCTCCCAGCTGAAACAAGAGGCTCCAGCAGCCGTCGAGGCTCAAATCATGCAAGCCACACGGGCCTGCTGTCAGCTCCTGTCACGCCGCTCCCGCCCTCGTCATCATTGAACATCATCATAATCACCATCAACATCATAATCATAAATCAAATAATAGGACTTTGATTACTTATCAGAATCATCATAATCAATAAATGAAATAACAATAATGATAATAATAGTAAACAATAATAAGTATGATCACAATATATCATAAGAATCATCAGAAACAAAGTAAGTATAAATCATAAGCATCGAATAGAGGGGTAATAAGTGATTCTATCAATAATAATCATCCACATCACCATCATCACCGCAACTAGTTGTTTCAAGCAACAATCATTTAAAAAAAAAAACAAGTGCAGTGAGGTGTAGAGCTGGGTAGCTCATAGGTTGAATTCATCATAGAAATTCAAGCCCCAAATTTCTCACATGGCGAGTCAAAACCCACCCAAACGGTGGATGTAGATTCCCCCAGTCATATGGCTGGGTAAATTATATATCATATTTCACTGACCTGAATCTTAAGGCCATAAATGGGGATGATTCCTCTTATTAACATTTATATCATTTATTAACCATGATTCCCTTGGTTCGGGAGAACAGGCTTCGGTCGTGACGTCACAGGTGTTGATCCATCCCGAAAAGGCCTCGGGAATGTCGCAGCGGGTGATTCGCGATTCGACTTCTCTCAAGGCCGTTGGCTGTTTCAACATCAGCCATTGCCATTGCAGGGCCTCGGCGGTGGACAATTTTGCGGGCCTTTTTGAATGACCTGAATGTACCCCTCAGCTGTGGATCTAAATGGATTGTTCTAAAGAAAATATGAGAAAATCCGAAGAAAAAAAACGCTGTAAATGGAGCTTCCAGGTGTAGAGCTGGGAGATTCATCGAACTGGAACTATTGCTGAAAGGATTTTCCATTGAATGGGGCACCAGCATGTCGTGCTTGCGCGGTTCATCTGGCTGTGATCGAACATCACCAACTCAGGCCCATGCAAAGCGCAACGCAGAGTACTCCCGCGTCAGCACGCGTTTCCTGAGCTGAAGATCTGAGGGGTTTGAAGCTGCAAATATTGATAAATATTGGGCGATGTTCAGCGGGAAACATGGAAACCGCCCAGGTTTGAACTGTACTGCTACTGTGCGGATAGATTCAGGACTTTTGAATGGTTGCAATATCTATGTACTTGTATGTATGGTATTCACGATATGGTTGTCTTTAGGCCATGGTGTTTCTATTATTCAATGCTTTGAAAACAATTCTGCAATATTCTGCATAATTAGAATGAACAATGGTGCTTTAAAGACTATGTTTCAACACATACAGATCATACAGCATCATCTACTCCATATCGTCAAGAAAGAATAGCTTTCTTTGAAGGAACACTACACAGTTGAAAAACAAGGTGCCGGGCATCTGAGCCGGCCCGTCACTTTTCAAACATTTTACAGGGGGGACCACAAAACGCTGAAAAACGAAACCTTAGCATCAGGAGCAATTTCATCATCATCATCATCATCACCATCATCATCATCATCATCATTTACATATCCATAGCCATCCACCTAACACCCGCCCTACGATCTGCAAGTGCATGAGAACGTACAGCAGCGGCGTAGCATGACGTATGTGTGCAAGTGCATGAGAACGTACAGCAGCGTAGCATGACGTATGTGTGCAAGTGCATGAGAACGTACAGCAGCAGCGTAGCATGGCGTATGTGTGCAAGTGCATGAGAACGTACAGCAGCGTAGCATGACGTATGTGTGCAAGTGCATGAGAACGTACAGCAGCGTAGCATGACGTATGTGTGCAAGTGCATGAGAACGTACAGCAAATGACGCTATTATCCCACCCCACCCCACCCCCCCCACCCCCCTCGTCTATGATGTTGTTTTTAGTGTAATGTCAAAAAGTAACAACAGCGAGGGCCGGCTCAGATGCCCGGCACCAAAAACAAGCGCGTTGCTTCAAGGAATGTTGCATCCTTTATTTGAACAATCAGAATTCTTTCTACATACTCTTGTACAGAAATGTTACACATGTGAAGGGGCTATTTGTCTTAAGGATATCTTAAAAGAACCCTGCACTTCTTTAGGAGATATATGCTGCAGGAATACCGGTTCCTTATAGTGGGATTGTGCTGTCTTTACATCTGGAACTCAAAGAGACCACTGCACTTCTTCAAGGGAGTAGCCTACAATGTGAGTTAACAAAAGCCCCAGTAACTAGTTCGTTATAAGTACCATAAACCATAGTGAAATTGGAGTTATAAACCAACTTAGTTTGAAAGAATGTTGGGTGTGAAGGGCATGCTGCATCTCTTGAAAGAGTCAGCCTGCACGGATCAAAGGACATATTGCGTAGTTTGCACGAACTGTATTTCTGTGAAGGAATAGCGTTGGTTCTAAAGGAAACAATATATTTTTTTTGTTTGAAAGGAGTGGTGTATGGTTTGGATTGTTAAAAAATGAGAAGGATACTAAGTTACTAAGTTGCTTCTGGACACGTTGTTGTTTCAACTGGAACATGTAGTTTACAGGGAACCAACAGTTCCTTAAAGGCATGTGTCTTGTTTCTTTCCAAGAATGCTGGATCTCATTTGGCCACAGCGACGTTGCCAAATCACCCAAAAATGAAAGTGGACAAGTTGTTAAGATGACAATAGGATAGTTGAGAAAAAAAACAATACCAGTACCAAAAAGAGGCAATGTTTCTTCACGTATACCATGTCACACTTCATCAGGTAAAATTGGTAAAATTGTCATTGAAAGTGTGAAAATGGTACGTCTTGACAGGGTGCGTCGTAGTACGCCTGTTCTGTCCTTCACGCTGCACGTTGCAAAAACTTGCACTTTTCGGTTCCTTGCAATGCTCTAAGCACTTGGATTCAAGATTCTAGACTCAAGATTCAAGGCCCAAGAAAAACTGTTTGGATCTCTCAAGATTCAAGATTCTGAGAAATTCTTCTTGAATCCATTCCCCTCTCTGGAGTCAAGATTCCAGATTCAAGGCTCAAATCATTTTTTTTGAATCCTCACCGGGAGGCCTTGTATCTTGATTCAAGGAGAGTTTCTCAGGATCTTGAACCTTGAATCCAGCACCCTTGGATTCAAGAAGTATTTATTTTCTGAGCCTTGAATCTTGAATCTCATGATGGTAAGGGAAGGGTGGGAGACGGAGAACAAAAAAAAAACGAAAAAATGCAGATTGCTTCTGACACTCGTTTTCTATGACCCTCCAAAGTGCAAAGAAGCTGCAAATTTGAGCCAAAAAAAGCTAGAAGGGTAGTTCTTGGCGGCATACCATATATATTTATATACCTATATATATATACATATATTCATATATGTACATATATATTGTAGAATCGGTAGCAGTTCACAGTCAAACACCAATGGCCAATGTCACCAAGTGAATTCGATGAGAAGCACTTCCCTGAATGGCCGCCTGGCCAATAATGATATTGTTGTGGAGACCGCCTGATCTTCCTATGAATCCTGATATGACCCCTGGTCGAACACGGTGCCCCTGGCACAGCTATGGCTCCCTTTTCTGCCACGTCGCAAAACCCCCTGAGTTTTGGGCACTGAGCCTATAAGGCCACATGTTACCATGGAGGATTCACATGTGTCATGTTGACCCCAGGAACATGGATGACAAGTGGACAAATCACACTCGTCAAAAATTATGAAAGATTTAACTATTCTATACAAAGGTTCAAAAGGATATTAGGATACACAAGTATCAACTTCCCCAGTGTGCTGTCCAAGGCCATCTTGATTCATCCACAGCTTCTTCGTCCATTTATCTGCACGCGCTTTGAGCACTTCGTCAACATTGTGGATGATGCATTTGCCTTTCGAAAGAAAGTCACGTAGCACCGAACAATCCATATGTTTGGTCAAGCTATCCGCCAGTTGAGCTGCTGAGTGAACCTACTTGATCTGAATCCCTTCTTTAATACGGTCCTTAATTATCAGAGCTTCCAACATCGTTCGGTACTCCTGACATTGAGGGATCGTTGTCTTCTGAATCAGATCATATAAGCTTTTGCAGTCTACCACGGCGTATGCTTCCGGGCTGTCAGCTAAACATTTCTCCGGATTTTTCCATTCATGACTTGGTTGACACAACCATGACCATTGAACCCTCAACCATGACAGCAAATCCACTGATCCACTTAGGGCATAAGCTTCTGAGGCAAGTGTGCTGGCAACTACGCGAGCTATCTTCCGAGAATACCAAATAAGTGGACTCACATCACTGGCTTTCCATTCACCAATACTTTTTGAGGCCGCAAGAATCAAACAACCCTTTTGGGATTGGGAGTTGGCTCTATTAGCAAAGGCAGCATCAGAAAATGAAACAAAACGGATGTCTTCAAGTGGAATGCTCTTAATGGTGATTTTGGTGTCTTTGTGCTGTTTGGTTTCGGTCAAAAGTCGATTGGCATCCAGGAGGTCTTTCACGCATGCACTGTAGATCTTGGCCTGCAGTAAACTGAGTTTTGCTGAGATATCTGGCCTGGTATTGGTTGCAGCATATTGGAGGCTGCCTACCAAACCCCTGAGAGCTTGTCTCTCTTTTTCATCTACAGGTTCATCTTGAGATTGGCGTCTTTCTCGAGGAACATCAATATGGGTAATGTCCTCTACGTATTTGGTCTGGTCTAGCTCAATACTGCCATCCCAATTTTGATGAATATGGATCCCCGTGAACTGAAAGTCGGTATGGTGAGTACTCCCGAAGGGATATCGGGTTTCCAGTTTTCGGATTGCTTCTTCAAATTCTTTGTCTCCGGCACCCAATCCATCATCAACATGGATTCCGACTACCCCATGGATACCTTTCTTATCCCTTTTAGGCAACACAAAGAGACAGGGGTCCAGAGGACTGATTTGGAATCCCAAGTTAAGGAGGGCGCCCTTCAATTCCTCGTACCATAAAAGAGGTGCATTGCATAGGCCATATGCAGATTTCAACAGTTCACAACACTCCCAAGGTTGGAGTTTCATTTGAGCACGCATCTCCAATGGGGGCTCCATGCCCAAGATGCGGCCGTCCGTACGGCTCCCTCGGAGGAATGCGGTCTGGACGTCAAAACTGCGAATGCGCCATTTTGCGGAAGCTGCGTATTGCAAAATCAAGGTTCTGGATTCCTTTCCAAGTGTAGGTGAATCTCTGGCTAGATTCTCAATTTGGGGGTCTTCAAAACCAAGAATAACTAATCGAGCTTTAGGTTTATGGCTATCACTCATGGAGGAACCGTTTTCATTCTTTTGGGGATCATTATCATCACGGGGTTTCCAAGTTAGTACCCATCTGGATCTCAGAATCTGCTCTTCCGGAATTTGGCTGCGGGCAATTCGACGCACTGTCTCAGTTGACAGCCAAGACGCGACTTCTTTCGCTTTGGCTCCTTGAAACAGCAATCGATCGCTCGGAGACAGATCTTTTTCTTTGACTTCCGCTCTTTGCTTTTTGGCATTTGATGCCAGGAACACTATTTGGTCAGGAAGGTTTTGTCGTGAACAGTGTTCGATTTCATGGGCGGCAAGAAAAATACTGATCTCGTAACCCCGGACTGGCTGGTCGGTGCACATGTTGATATATTGCTGTTGATTTGGACATTGGGAAACGAACTCTGGGCGGATGTCAAACTCTGTGCGACCTGTCCATACGAGCGGCAAACTTTGGTGACCTTGAATGTTACCGCGCCACATATCTTGGTGGGTCCAGTCAGGACCATTTCGGGGTGTCACATGTGTGGTGCGTTGCGACTCTAGCCATTCTAAAGGCACCGGATTGTCTTCGATGCACACAGGATTGAACATCTTGGTTCGTGGCACAACATGGTGTCTCACTAGTTTCCCAGGTTGGATCTCCCAGTGGTCCTGGAAATTTAGGCTGGTTACCAGGCTATCTTCTCCTTCATCGGTTTCAGGAAGTGACACATCTAACCCTCCCCTTGGTATGGTGCTTGGCAACTGTTGCATGGCTTGATGGCCTTCCGGAGGATCCGCACTTTCATC